CACACACACACACACACACACACACACACACACACACACACACACACACCCACACACACATAAATTTTGGATGAAAGCTTCTGTTATTACTTTGGTACTTTGTATCCTTTCCTAATAACTCTATTATTTGTATTTTTATGTACACATTTTATGGCGACTATGTCCAGGGTATTACTTTCTTATTAAAGTGATTTAGTTTCTCCTCTGCTGTTCTGAGGACGCAGTAAACAATTGTATCTTTGCGAACCTGGATAAACGTGTATTTAATGGGCGGTTCAAATTGCTATACAAATTGCTATAATTTTTATTGGTGAACTGGTTGGTTCACCCAAATTACAATAAACAATCTTTCTCGCTCACCTCTACTAGCATCTAAACACAGAGAGTTTGAAAGATGCGTTTATTGCCAGCACTCCAATAAAAGGCAGGTGAATATAATTTAATTGGGCTACTCTGGATAAGACCTCACTGTCAACAGTTTTATTTCTCTATTTTACTATTTATTTTCTCTGGTAGAAAGGAGTTCTGAAGAAACCGGGCAAATAAATCCAGATCTATCTGTATGGCATAACTAAGTAAGAAAATATATATTTCTTTGTATAAAGAATTGGAGATTCTTAAAGTCACAGTTGTCATAAACTTTCCAGTTTGACAGAAATCAATGTCACAGATTTCAGTATTTAACACTTATAAACACAAATACATGTGTTTTAGTTATATTCTGTATTGGATAGTTTTTAGCTTAGTTTGACATAAAAGCAACGGAAGTTAGTGGATTTGTCTTCTCACACTGATTCAGTCACACAACAACATGTAGGGAAAGACTCTTGCACCATCTAGTGTATAAAAGTGGCAATCGTTAAGATTTCAGACCTGGTTGATTTATAATTTATATTTGAGTGAAAACAATGGGGGATAAAAACATTTGTGTGTGTATACAATGGAGAAACACTTTAATACAGCGTTTGTTTCCAGGAATGTCGCCACAGACGCCCAGTTTGTAATACTGGAAATATATAAATATTGCAATATGTTCATCAGTGGTCCATAAGGCTCAATCACCATTGTGTTAAGTTAGATTTAAAATCTTTGAGATTGTCACGTTAACTGTCGTCAGTGAAACAGAACATAGAATCTTCTGTCCCACGAGCAGTCACCATGTAGGCTGAACAATTCTTCCAAAGACGTCCCTGTTTATTATTAAGGAAATCTGACAGCTCATCGTCTTTCTTAACACTGGCACAACATGTGCTCTGCAAAAGGTCAGAACGAGCCAAGTATCCCATTTAACAGATCAGAAAATCAACAAATAAAGGTAAGTGAGATTAATATACATTATGCACCTACAATATACATGTACCGACATAAAAAAACTGGTAATGAATAAAAAAAAAAATCAGGAACTTACGTAAAAAACAAGAAGCTGAAATAAAACCTTTGCAAGATAGAAAGATTCTTCCACCAGCTGTTTGAAATTGGAATTTGGCAAAAATATCCCACCAGTCAGCTTTTTTACATCCTGCTGATGGGCGACTACTGTCAGTTCAGCAAAACTCTCAGTGAAACCCAACAGCTACTTTGTAAAATTAGCATAATTTACATTTTCATCGTAAATCAATGCTCTATATATATATATATATATATATATATATATATATATATATATATATCATGTTTTGCTTATTTTTGAGATCGTAATTATGATAATTCAATTTGAAAATTAAAATTTGTAAAACTTGATGTGTATAGTACTAGATGATAAAGATAATATTAATCACACAGAATCTCAGTGTTCACAAACAAAACATCATTTGTTTATTCCTCTCTTTTGTCCATGAATAACTGTGAGACCATTCTTGGATCTTCAGTCTCAGCTGATGATTGACAATAGAAACAGTCCATGCTTAATGATCCCTGCTCCGCCTGTCTTTGCTTAAAGGGAATAAATTATGTTTGTTTTTTTAAACAATAATCATTTTATCCAACCATGTGACCATTTAAATTATCAACCATGAAGTCACTGCAGATTTTGAGCCTTTAACAGAAAAGAAAACAACTTTGTTTCCCCCTCTGTGTTCAAAGGTTTTCTTCATCAGCTCGTCTCAATAGGAAATCTTTTTTCAACATGCTGGATTAGTCTAATGACCTGACGTGTTCTGCTTGGTGGCTACCATGCCGGTTTTTAAGGTGACCTTGGCAGTTGTTAATGGTATTCGTGTCCCTGCATGTTGCTTCAGAAGCCTGATTACTCCATTAAGACCGAGTCTGAGGCGCAAGAGGATGGAGATAAGAGGTGGAAGATGTCCTGGTGGCGGTGTGAGGGTTTAATGTCATACTAGTATGAGCTTACATTGCAAAGGAGCTCAATCAGAGACAAACCACAGACAGGAAGAAAGAGTTCCTTTAAACTCCCATGTGACCCATCTGAGAAGCCCCCCCCCCCCCCCCCCCATTAGCTCTTGTTTTACCCTCCTCTCTCCCAGTCACACCCCCATGGTTGTGTGGGTGTTGTCAGGCTGTCAGCCAATGGCACGACAGCGCTCACCCTTTGAAACACAACCATGATAAATCAGTGTCAGTGCAGAGAGGAGAGTACAGATAAAGGATTTGATAGGGAAAATGATATGATTAAAAATACATGGAGGGTGATGAAGTATCACATTTATTTGATTATCAAATGTATTTTATTAGTCATTGTTCAATTGTGTAAGCTACAAGGGTATGTCTATAAAGACAAGTCGGCATAGATAGAGTTGAATGGAAGTGTCCTCTGGTGAGTTCAAAGTTCTTCACCTGGATCTCATGTGTGTGTCTGCTTGAGATCCAGTTCAGGATTTTTGTGTCAAATGAACATATGAATATTTAGACAGTGTATACCTTCTCTCTTTGTGTCTGGTTAAAGAAAACGAAATGTCTCTTCAGTGCACAGAATAACCAATGAGGAGATAAGCACTATCATTATTGCATTAGTAATAGTGAAATCTTGCCTTGGCACTGTGCCTGTTGCAATGGACAACATGGTTACTTTTGATTACTTTGTCCAACTGACTGATCCATGTCAGAACATTTAAATTTACAGCTTGACTGCACCAAATCGGTGTATTTACATATAAAACACATGTGTAAAAACAAACCCAATTGAGTTATAATTCAAATTTGCTTTTTATGTTGTGTAATCATGTGTTTGTCCCACTGTTTAAGCATATTGTACCGGCGCCTGGGGGTATGATCTAATCTTATCGTCTGTGCAGAGTCCACAGGTGTAAGCCCCGGTCAGGGTCTTTTCCTCAGTTGAGCTCAGCACTAAGATTCTCTCTCTGCAGAGCGAGAGACAATGATCGAGCACCATACATGTTGTGTATGTGTGAAATAATGGGAACATGCAATGAATGCAGTGTTCCACGCTATCTTATCTGTTCCCAGACAATGGGAGCAGATGCTTAAGCAACACAATTGGTCACTGTTTCATGAGAGTGTTGTTCACGCTCAGGAGTTAAAGGCTGCAACCATGCCGGTTTTTGAAGGTGAGCTCTGCAGTTGCTGATGGAATGGAGTCTGAGGCACAAGAGTGCAGAAATAAGAGATGGAAGAGGTGGTGTGAGGGTTTAATGTCATACTGGTATGAGCTTGCATTTGAAAGCAGCACACTCAGACACAAAACACAGACAGGAAGTCAGTCCCTGTTCAATTAATTGTTGCTGCCCATGAGGGTGGTTAATGACTGATGCAAACACAATGGGCCTTTCTCACTCACTCCACAGATCAGAGAACTGCTGATGACAGCAGGCCTCGCAGACATCCTCTGAACAAACCACAAAGTACAGAACTGTAACACTGTAGTCGCTGTGCAAAAGCTAATGAATGACCAAGCGGATGCACTTCACATCGCTCATCCTACGAATTTAATGCACTATTTACGTATTTACATTCATTTTTACATACATTTTTAAAGGATTCATCTAAACATTTTTTAAAGCAGTCAGTTTAAATATTATAATTATCATGTGGCCTTGAGGTGGTAGTTTGGTCTGAAATGAATGCTACTGTCTTGTCTCCTGTGAAATGACTAGTTATAACTAAAATGTATTGTTTATTCAAAGGGCATTGGTCAGAAATAACGAGGCCGTTGGGAAATAACGATACTCTCGTCATAACTAAATAAAAAAAGGTGTAAAAGGAATAGTTTGACATTTTCGTGACCAGGCTTATTTGCTTTTTGGTGATAGATACCACTTTTATGTCTGTATGGTAAATTCTAATTCTACTAATTACCACATTTTACATCCACACACAAAAAGCGAAATAACATTTTTCTTACTTATTTTTTGAAAATGTATTTTTTATTTTTTTTACAAAATGTTAATTAATTTCAGTGTGCTGCTTGTCTTGAAAATCAGATCTCCAAAATGAATTGAGGGTATCTAGATGACTAGTTATTTGATACTTGCCTACATTTGCATGTATCTGTATACATAGCCGTGAGTATTTTTCTTTTTCTTTTAAATCTATTTATATCTTAAATCTTATACATCAATGGAAATGTTTATGTAGGGTAATTGCACCGTAAATTGAGGATCTTTCAATACAACAAATCTTATAGGCAATGCCTTTTTTGCGTCAGGTTATATGATGTTTTCCTTACATAAAAACATCACTATTTATGTTTTAAACATTGCTAATTAACATATTACAATCATTTTGATTTAACTGTGAGCAACTGTAATCACATTCAATTATCCACACTTATCCTTAATACAGTATTACAACCCTAAGATCGCTGCCTGCATGAAAACAAATGAATATATATCATTTTACTTTTCATGCCTTTTCATTGAATTTCAAATCATAGGCATTTCAAATGGTGCAAACTCGGGAACGCGCGCTGTCAATTGCCTCGCACGGGCGTGCGCATCCATTGGTCCTCCTCTTCCGCGTGCGTCCCGAGGAGCCCCCCCCTCCTTGGCTCCTGCTGCTTTTAAAATAAACGGACACAGTATGCCATTCCACACTCGGCCAGAGGACGGGACACGGTGAGGAGTTGCTGTGTCGCTCATTCTAACCCCCCCTCTCTCCTGTCGTCACCCCCATTGCCCTTGTTGTTTAGTTGCCTCTTCATTAGTTCGTGTACACGGTTAGCTAGTTTCAGTCATGTATCGGTATTTCGGGGAGCTGCTGAGCCGCTCTGCGGGTAGTGCCCTGGCCTCGGGCTGCGTTGACTCCGCTCTCCCGGTGTCCTCGTCCTTGATGCGGGGGGTCCGTCGCTACGCGGACGCAGCGGACTCGCCGGACGACCCCAACTTCTTCCGGATGGTCGAGGGCTTCTTCGACCGCGGCGCCAGCATCGTGGAGGACAAGCTGATCGAGGATGTGAAGACCAGGGATACCCCCGAGCAGAAGAGGAACCGTGTGCGTGGCATCCTGCGCATCATCAAGCCGTGTAACCACGTCCTGAGCGTGTCTTTCCCCATCAAGAGGGATAACGGAGAGTGGGAGGTGATAGAGGGGTACCGCGCCCAGCACAGCCAGCACAGGACACCCTGCAAAGGGGGTAAGCATTGACCCAAACCGCCCCTATGCCAGCTAGCTTTAGCCAGCTACTTAGCATTAGTTAGCTGCAGCATTAGCATACAAATACAAGGCAGCTGCTGTCAACAGCTGCTAATGTTACTGTAAACCGTTACACACAGCTTCACTGTTTAATCCGTTACACTTAACCACACTCTTTTTTCGATCATAACTGCTTGGTTGTTAGTTTTGTTTACTGTATTTCACTACTGCTCTCACTTCCGGTGCAGTTTACATTGACCTTCCTGCTCACCTGAAGGTATAATGTTAGCAGCCCACCATACTTAGTGGGCTTAGATCTTGTTTTGCTCGTTTCTTGTGATCCCGTTGTTTTGGTGGATGGAGTTTGCTCCTTCTGATCAACTCTTATTCCTATTATTCTTATGTGTGTCAGATGTATGAAGACACCAGGTGTTGTGGCTTTGAGCATTTCAGGCCCTTGGCCATCATGTGCTGCACAAAACACGGTCGACCATTGAAGACCTATTGCTCATGCACTTTTCTGTCCTTTGATCAGGCCTAATACACACAATGTGTTCCTCACTCTTTCTTTAGACAAATGCTAAAATTCACAAGCTGTATGTGCAATGTGTCAACCTTGGGCAGAGCATGGTAATGTATATCGTACGACAGTAACATTATGCTCTTTGGTTCAAGGTTCAAAGCAGAGGCATTGTGGGCTACTGCTGCAGTGATTTGAGGGATCTGATGGGTAGGAGGTCAGAAGGAGGGTGAAAGCTGGGGAGGGGGTGGTTTTGTTTCCAGGCTCTCCTATTTGTCAGCTGAGTGACAGGTGGTGGTGGGGTGGGGTGGGTGCTGTGGAGAGGAGGCTTTCTCAGCCGAAAGACATTCCTTTTAGACAAATGGCATGTTTGAATGGTGCGGGTCGGCTATTTGCCTGGTATTCACCGCATATAACGCCCTTCCATTGTACATATTTGAAGTAGTAAATGTAGACATCTTTTAGGGCGGCACATTAGCGTGGCACTGTGCTGTACACGCCTGACTTTAAAAGATGGATTAGTAAACTGTCAAGAAGAAACCAGAGAAACCATTTTTATTGTCATATACATATACACGAAATTTTCATGTAAATTTGCCTTCTGCATTTGACCCATCCCTGTATATAGGGAGCAGTGGGCTGCCAATGACAGGCGCCCAGGGAGCCGGCGGTTCAGTGTCTTGCTCAGGGACACTACAACACGTGACACGTCCCAGTCGAGGATCGAACCGTTGACCCTGCGGTTACCAGACAACCCTCTTAACCCAGTGAGCCCAGTTGAGAGTGAATCATTTATGGAAACCAAAACACATCCTCTATTACAGATTATTCCCTCACATCCATTAACTGTTTTAAAGAATCATTCTGTACAGCCATCAGAGAGAGATCACTCAGAGGAGCCATTTATTTAAAATCAATAACATTAAGGGAGTGTCGTTGCTTCTATCCATCTCATAAAAGCTTGAGGAGAGCATCTCCTCGATCCAAAGCTAAAAACTCAGCTTGACCTTAACGGTCCTCTACAGTAGTAGTATTTCTAAATATCTTCTCTCTCATGTTGCCTTGCCTAATCCAGATCCAAAGTACAGTTAACCAATGATCTCGAATCACAGCAATGTTAACTTTTCATCCATTTTATCAAGTGGGAGCAGTACCATTATTTTTTTGTAGTGGCCCATGAAGGAAGCAGTTATTGTTTTCAGTGGGTTTAATCATTGATGTCCTGCGTAGATCCTTTGCTGTGTTCAGATCAAACTTCAAAGTTCAAAGGCTGTTTTTGTGTGAGCACATGTTGCCCATACACTCCCCTTTGAGAGCGACAGCTGCTGGGCTTTGACCTGTCTACCGAACGAGCGTCCTAACTCGGGAATATCATGTGTTGCTTCTCTGTGTGTGCAAAGTTATTCGAAATAACCCTGGAAGATAGTTTGTCATATTTGATCTAGTTTTGTTTATTCAGCTAAATTGTCAATTCTCCTTTCTGTGCAGAAGTACCACACTTTAAAAAGCCCACAAACTATTAGCCAGTGTGTGTGCATTAAAGAAAAACATTGATATCAAAGAATTTAGTTAATACTAATGCAAGGAAAATATCACCACAGGGTAAATAATAATACACTGAAGACCTGAACTAGTAACTTAAACCAAATGCACCGAAATTCAACAATGTGTTTCTAAAGGATTCCAGATATGTTGCAGGTTATTTTAGGCCGTAGAGGCTCTGAAGCTCCATGGTGTCGGGCCTTCAGGCCTCTCTGTTGAAATTGAACGGCCCCGACTACTGCAGGAACTCTAGATTTCACTGCGGGCTCTGTTTATTTCCAAAAAGTCTGTCCTCCATGACAGAGGAATGTGTTTACAGATGTGTTTTGAAATCTGGTTGCTGTGGTGAGCTGTTGGCTGGGTGGAGAAATGGATGGGGGGGATGGGTGTATAAGCAGCCAGGCCTTTTTCCTTCTTTCTTTCTATTTGATCAGCGAGCTCCAGTCTTGTGTTGGTCTCGAGGTAACTCAGCTGATCTTTGGAAGAATGGAAATAAAGATGGAAAGGTGGGAACCACAGCAGCACTCTTAAAGTCGGAGCCTCGTTTTGGGAGGTTTGATCTCTTCCTCTGATTGCAGTAACAAAAAGGAAGTGGGTGGGCACCAACGTGGCACTTGAGGATGACGTCATTGTGGTTAACTTGTGCTTCTTGTGTTTCTGTTTCTATTGGTTACAAATGACACACGGTTCTTTTGTCCCCTCAAGGAAATCTTTTTCCTCCGCTTTGTGCCGTTTGCCCCTGGGGCTTCTCTGTGGAAGCTAACCCTGGATGAGCTATATTTGGTACTGCCAGACAATCTTACACCCGCACACACTATACCAATAAGATGAAGTAGTACTTGGGCGGCCTGACTGTATGGTCTCATGTAACGCTGCACGCCATGCCGACAGTAGTAAACCCCAGACAACAGGAGGGACTGACTGTAGCTCGGGGGCGGGAGTCAGAATGGGAAGCTGGGATTGGTTCCTGAGGTCTCTGCCCGCCCGACGCTGCTACCGTGACTGCCGGGCACAATCCGTGATCTCTGACCTGTTCATGTGATCTACTCTGATTACTGGTCCAGTCCGGTCTTTGACCGTGCTCTATCTCTGCTACTCATTTCCTCTTTCTGTTGTTGAGCTGCACATGTAGTGGAGACAGTTTCAGTGTCAGTGTAGACCATTGATGTCCTCACGTTGCAGTCTAAACACTTAAATCTGTAAACGAGACACTTTAAAATACATTATACAAGTGTTTACTCACAAGAAAACATCTTCAACAACGTATAGTATATTTTGCTTGTGGCAGTGTTGTAACTTTGTGTGTGTGATTCCTTTAGGTATCCGTTACAGTCCAGATGTGTCTGTTGACGAGGTCAAAGCTCTGGCCTCTCTGATGACCTACAAGTGTGCCGTTGTCGGTAAGTATTATATATTAGTATATAATAAATATATTAGTCTTCCACAAAGGCTCCTGCTGGTTATCCCCTGATCTTCATATACATATTCATACTTTTTGTCTTACCAAGTTCAAAACAAAAGCCCAAACTTGGTGTTCTTTGCAGATTCATATGCCAGTATTTCATCTAATACATTGATCTTAAGTATTGCATATTTGAATGAGTTTGCCTTCCCGCTTCTAGTGCGCTGTATCCACAGTCTGAAATAGGTATTGATATTTAAGACCACGCTGACTTTTTAATACATTGTGCATAATCGTCAAGTAGCTTATTAGCACGTTTCTCTATCATCATGCTCACATTGTCTTGAAGCGGAGACTAATGGTTTTAAAATGTACCCGTATAGTGTTTGAATGTTCTCTCTTTAAAAGCTCTTATTATCCTACAGATGTGCCATTTGGGGGAGCCAAAGCTGGAGTCAAGATCAACACCAAGAATTACTCTGTAAGCCTTCTAATGTCAACCCCCCCCCCCCACACTCCCACGTAGAGATACACCAACATGTTTCACTGTGTGCTGTAAGACATAAAGGAGAGCAACGCAGCCTTTAAGACAAGATGGCAGTCATTGGAGGGATATGAGCTCTCTTCTGTTCCCACATCCAAACAAACATGGACGATGATTCAATCACACTGGAATGCAAAAGGCTGCGCTGCTGGATCTTATCCTTTCATTTTGCACTTTTTGAAGACAAAAATAATCACAGAGAGAGATTGAGATGGGAAAAGAGGGCGAACAGGATATCAAATGTGTCTTTCTTTAGATTGAATTTGAGTTTAACGGCGGCAGTAACTGTTCCCAGTAGATACTCGGATGTGTAAGAGTATTTTGTGGTTTAAGTTTCTTCATTCAACTGATGGTGCTTTTATTGGATTACGCATAGGGATTTTAGTGCATCCATTGATGGGTACTGTGATATAAACAGACTTGAAGGCTATTGATCGGCTGTTGCCTCGGAGTTAACTGGAAAGAAGCTCCTTAAAAACAACCTCACACTTTTGTTTCTTTATATCAAATGGAAACTATTGGGTTATACGGACGAGACCCTGTTTGGATTGCTTTTTCTCTTCCTTGAATGTCTCAAACTGTAACCAACATGTTCTTCCTAAACTCTGTACTGTGTCTGTCTGTCGCAGGATAATGAGCTGGAGAAGATTACCAGGAGATTCACCATTGAGCTGGCCAAGAAGGGCTTTATTGGTGAGTTTCTGTGTGTGAATTTAAACCGTTGTTTAAATTGATGACGGTTAAAAGTAATTACAAAACTATTGGTAGTACTGTGAGTATTCATTTGGTTTGTGACAGTGTTTTTGTCGTTATTTGACTCTGTTGGAAATGACTGTGGTGGTGAGAGGTGAATGTTTCTACCCAGAGTAGTAAACATTTCCTGTTTATTCAGGTTGGGGTAGCTCAGGGTGTGCCTGTGTAAACCGGAAAGGGAGACAATTAATAATGGTGAAAGGAGAAGCACAGGTTTGAAATATGAGTTTGACTTTGGCCGATGATTTGTGAACGTAATATATAACAGAAATCAGATATAAGTTTCTGAATAAAGTTGTAGTATTTACCTGTTAAGCAAGGCGGCACATAACCTGCTTAGCTGGAGTATATGTTTAACGTTCCCTACATGAATGCATGTTAGTGTTTGTGATGTGTTCACTTCAGAGATATGACACTGTCTGTTACATGCTTGTACACAGCAATAGTTGTGTCATTTAGTGAGGTTTGATGCAAGCGCCTTCACCACTGAGTTTTTATACACCCTGGAGGCAAAGCAGCACCCTTTGCACACATCTCTCTGCATGCATGCTTCTGATTTTGAATACATATAATAAGGTGTGTATATATATATATGCATGTATGTATTTTATATTATTTAGGACCAGCCAAGGTACCTAGTTATCAAGACTGGAAACTTGGTTTTATGAATGATTCATTGTGTTAACCGGCCAAGTGCGTGTAGTGATTTAATCCCTGCACTATGACTGGCAGGCTTGGTTAACGCTCTTTTTCCTACCCGTCTGCCTTCACCAGGACCTGGCATCGACGTCCCGGCCCCAGACATGAGCACAGGAGAGAGGGAAATGTCCTGGATCGCCGACACGTACGCCAACACCATTGCACACACTGTAAGTTCTCAGGCATACACAACCAATCCGTATGACTTGCCTGTTATGTTTTTGTTCAAATTTTAAAATGGGTCAAATTAATAGCAAGGAGTGAGTCACATGTAAAGCATGAGCAGTGGTTTCCTGCCTCTCCCTTTCCAGCCGACCACTGAGGCATTCCTCCTCTCTTACAAAGCAGCTTTACAAACTGAGGCCTGTGTGTTTGTGTTATCAGTTAAAAGTTCTCCTATCAAAACCTCTCAAACAGGGCTTATTTGACTAAAGATGGAAAATATTTACCCAAATGTGTTTGAGCACATGTTAATCTGTATATCACAGCTGTTTTACACAAAAATTATAATAGTCAGATACTTTTACTTAACCTTGATTTTAACCGTCATGAAGTCAAGAAAGTGTAATTGTGAATTCATAAATAGATTAGATTTAGACTAGAGCTGAGTGATTATTAGAGCTCAAATGATTAGTCGATAATGACAATTGTTTTTTGTTTTTTTTAATAATTGATAAAATGAGTCTTCCAGTAAAAGTGTTCTAAGGTTCCAGCTCCTCCATTGTGAGGATTTGCTGCTCTTCATAAAGTGAAAACCTTTTAAGTCTGTTCCAGATGTGCCTGGCATGGCTTTGGAGTGGGTGACACATTCCTGCTCTGGGTGTCTGAAGGCAGAGAACTATGGGTAGTGAGCAATAGTGTACATGTGGTCTGATCTTTCTCTGTGTGTGTTGGCAGGACATCAACGCCCACGCGTGTGTGACAGGGAAGCCCATCAGCCAGGGAGGAATCCACGGACGTATCTCAGCCACCGGTCGTGGAGTTTTCCATGGCATCGAGAACTTCATCAATGAGGCGTCCTACATGAGCATGGTGGGCCTCACACCCGGCTTCCAGGACAAGACCTTCGTCATCCAGGTACACACACGTACACACACACACACACACGTACACACACACACGCACACACACACGCACACGCGCACACACGGTTTAATCAAAGAAGAAACATTTTAGATGGAAACAGGAGTGATGAGACCCTAAATGTGCTGCAGATATCTGCACACAGATACTCAAAGGATTTAAGTTTTCATTTGAAATCATGATGAAGTGTTTTAGAGCTTCAATCAGAGTCATGCCATCTGTTTGAGCCCGGACCTGATCTCCTCTTGCTGAGCAGACAGCAGTGAACCGAAGGAGGTTTTATTTCTTTGTTCATGACAGAGCGGGACCAAGTAACAGTCTTTTGGTAGAAACTTCTCTAATTTCTGCTTGTCAAGGCTTGTGAGTCAGTTTTGTTAAGTTATTGAGCCCAATGTTTTGTCTCGCGTGTCATGGACGGACGGACACACACACACACACACACACACACACACAATTGCAATATGACTTGCAATATTGGAGGGAATAATAATTTATACATCATTTTCATTGAAAAACATATTACAATATGATGTGATTTTTGTTGGAACTGTACCAAAAAAAGATGTCTTCTCAATTCTGCAGAAAATGATTTGTAGGCGGGGCCAACATTTCGCCTTTAACAAATCTTTAGCCTGCTGTGATTTTATAATTGCTGTAGGCTGTACTGCGATCTCGATACACTTTTGATTAATTGCGTTGCCCTACGAACAACCCTGCATGTGTAACATTCAGACACAAAGAGGATCTGCTCTGTTTACTTACAAGGATTAAAATCACACATTTAATTATCCTTTCCTTGGTTTGTTTTTTATTTTATTTTTTATAGAGATTTGTAAAGAGTTTATTTTTCCAGCAACAATAAATAAAACTATTAGAAATGTTGAAGAGGGATGACGTCTGTGTGTGAGGGATGAGAAGGTGAAGAAGTGATCACAGCAGCTGAACCATGACGTGGATGTTCAAAAAGCTAATCCCCCTGTGTGTGTGTGTGTGTGTGTGTGTGTGTGTGTGTGTGTGTGTGTGTGTGTGTGTGTGTGTGTGTGTGTGTGTGTGTGTG